TTGGTGATATATATATATATATATATTATAGGTGTGTGTATTCGGACGTGTTTTTTTCAAAAGACAGAGAACGTGATACTTATATATATATCATTACATAGCTAGATTCAGGCATACAAATAGATATCCTGAAATATAAATACAACATCGATAAATATATATATATATACTAGTATATAGATATATATGTATAGATATATATATACTGAACGAATCGATTGAGAGGTGACGCTTTTGTCAGGTTGTTATATTCATATACGTCAGCTTTGACCCTTTTCGTTGTACATGAAAGTTCTGCTCATGTATACATAAAATATATATTCTTTTGATGCAAAAGAGAATCAATTTAAAAATATATATTTCGACACATATATATATATATACTTGTACACGTGAGAATACAACAAGCATACCATGGGGCAACCGCGCTTTGACGTCCCAATCCGAGTAGTTGGATGTCATGCGATGGGGATCGGGGCCGTCCGAGTCGCGCAGACTGATGGCGCAGTTCCAGTCGGTTTCAATACCCATCTTCTCGGCCAAGAGCTTGGAGCGGCGCATGTTGCGTGGGGAAAAGTACACGAAGCGGATGCCGCTCGCCGTCACGTCTTCGATGAGCCCGACCATACCCTTGCGGGGCTGGATGCCCGACGCCACCATCCCCAGAAAGATCTGATCTTCTTGCAGCTTCCACAACGAGTCTGTATGTCTTTCAACGCCTGTCGCCGCCGATGACGTTTGCACTTTGGCTGAGTTTGCTACAAGCAGTCTTACTACTACGCTAGTCTATATATATATATATATATATATATAAATAAAATATAATATATATAAATATAAATGCATAATATATAATATGTATATACATAATATAAATATATAATACATATATTTATAATATAAATAATATTTATATAATATATAGATGGGCCATATCGAAAACAAAGGTGGTGTATTCTCATTAGGACAACGTACTTGGAGACATCGCAGCCGACGGTTTGAGCGCCTCGGTCGAGCTTGGGGGCGACCCCACGACGCCCGGCGACACGACGGGGGTCCCACGGTGTTGCGGGTGGTCGTCGTCGTCGTCCGTTGGCGAGCTCTCTTCGACGAGAAACAGCGGCGGCAGCTTTGTAAACGCAGTGTCCTGGGGCCCAAACAGTGCGTTGCACTTTTGAGCTACGGGGGCGTACGTGAGGGCGACGCAGTCTAAGTCTTCGACGCGCCACTGGTGGTACATGTCGAGAATGAGCCGCCTCTTGTCCTTGGTCAGAGGGCAAATGGACTTGCCATCCCAGTACTCGCTGCACTGGGACACGGCCAACGACGGGTGGCCTCGGCTGAGCAACTGATGGCCTACAAGGAATACAAAATACATTTACAAGTCCCTTGATTTGGGGCTTTTGAGTACAATCGATCGGCTGATAAAATTATATATAGGGCAAAGCATCGAGTTGTGTGTGTGTGCAAGGTATTTTTAATCTTTCCATGTGTATGTACGTGTGTATATATATCCCATACATTAAATAGAGTCGAAAATGGCTGCGATATGACTAGTAGTAGTACTACTAGTAGTACTACCGAATGTGTCGTGGATCGACGAATCGTAAACGCGAATAGAAGCATACAATAAATCATCAAATAATCAAACGATACAAATAGAACTGCCTTGAAATAACTAGTACTACTTGTTTAGATCCAAACTACAGTATTGTCAAATCGCTTCGAAACTCGAGCCTCGAAGAATGTGTTGGGATTAAACAACCGCCTGAGCCAATCAAATCACGTCCTGTCGAATTTCTGCCAATCCAAACGTTTGACCCCTCGGGGCAAAACCCCATATATACTCATCGTTGTATAGTATAGTGTGTACAAGATTAAATAGGATCAAATAGATTTTCAAAAGCTATTTGGCCAAGGGACTCTCTCAAGCCCAAAAAAAATGGGTGAATTGCACAATATATATATTCGTGCTAAAGTACAAGTCACAATGAACGACACGGTGCAAAGGTACGATAGACTCCTACTACTATCATCGAGTTGCAGAGGTTATTATTACCTTGCGACCGCTTGTCCAGCACAACCGTTGAATACAAGTGAGTTTTCAAATGGCCACGAAATCGCGTGTCTTCTTGGCCTTGGTCGTGGTGATCACTCGTATGCTCTTGGTATGCTAACCGAGGCGCGATCACATGGATGCTCTGGCGGCGGTGAAAGTTGGCCAGATCGTCCACACGGAACCCAATCGCCCTAACCCAAACAATTTAATCATGCATCATTCTAGTATTATATCGACTAACTTGGCCAAATTCAACAGATGGCGAGGATAAGGCAACAGACGCACATAACCAGACAGTTGCTGGACGCAGTGGAGCAGTTCGTGCTGCGGCGACGTGGTGCTATACGAGTCGTAGAACCCCCCCGCAGCCGCGTCGTTACTCAAGTACCGCAGCGTGTCAATGTACTCTGTCTTGGGGTCTTCGCAATCGTTGAGGAGGATAGCTAACCCCAGTGGTTTCAAGCTAGGGAGGTGCACTCGCCACTTTGGGTCTTCAAATTTCTCGCCTAGCCCGAAAAAGTTAAAGTGGCAAGATATTGTCGATTTGATATATAATTTATATTTTGGGTGCAATCGAATAATCGCGCCGACCAAACCGATCCACAATCGATCTGATTGGTTGTTGAATTTCATTGAGAAATGGGTTTTGATTGGCTAATAATGTTGAGCTCATCTGAACTAGCCAATCAAATCGATTTCAATTCCAACGAGAAACCACCACACAATGAAATTTCACTCGAAAGCACAATATATATATATATCGTAAATAAGTAGTCATACCAGTGGTGCAGAGGGGTTCTGGGTGCAAGTCCAAGATCGTGTTGGTGTCTTCGTTAAGAAGAAATATTTCTTCGGCACACGGCACTTCTTCACATAGCACGTCGTCGTCAAAACAGCAAAGCATCGTTGTACTACCCAACCGCTCAAGCAATCGGACTCTATTAAAGTCGAATTATTAGCCACACATAATACAAGTATTTCACTCCAAATGGCCACTGCAACTATTAATAGCGCAAAACTACGATAAATACATTGTATCCACCCTACCAACACATGCGATATGTATATATATATATATATATATACCAACACACGCGATATGTAAATATATATATATACCAACACACGCGATATGTATATATATATATATACATATCGCGTGTGTTGGTAGGGTGGATATGATGTATTTATCATATATATGTCCCAAGCTATTGAGTTATATAAGTAAACCAAACAATTGAATTATATGCAGCATAAAATATACTTTGAACGATGAAAACGACCGGAATTTGCGACTGTGTACACCGCATCACTGCAGTCGTCTTACTACAACACACATGACATTCTCGGCTATCAATACACTATCGATAATAAATTCTACATGTATAAATGTCGTCGAGAGTCGAGTTTTGTATACCCCGAGTATGGAATCATGAGCTTGTTTTTCTTGCCGTTGTGGTATCTCGTTCGATGGGCATCCGCACAATCCATAAAGCGAAACTGCAATGTCATCCAAAAGTAGTACCTACACACAACAACTACCTCATTAGATTCCTCGTCATCTTCCTAGCTACGGTAGCCCCAATCGTCTAGCTACCATTGTAACCTATCTAGTTACAAACTTCATCTCCAATCTCAAGCCAAACAGCTACATATAGCTTAACCACTGTAGCCAGCTAGTTTCAATCATCTCTCCAGCTAGCTACTGTGGCCCAATTCCTCTCGCTAGCTAGCTAGCTAGCTCCTGTAGCTCCGATCTCACTAGTCCCCAACGTACCACGATCGCTCGACGGCAAATGACCGCTTGGTCTTGCGCAGCCGCGACTGCTCGCGCTCTTCAACGTCGTACACGTCCATGTCGTCCGCTGTCGCACTGGTCGCACTGGTGGTTGTGGCTTCGCTCTCGAGAATCGCTTCAAACGCCGTGAGCAAGTGCGACGTCGCCGCCACTTCGCCCATGCACCACACAAACGGTGTATGCAGTGACACAAAGCACAGAATCACGTCCACAAGGGCTACAAGCCAAAAATATTAAAAGCAAATCCACAGGAGTGTTTAGCACAACCAATACAAAGCTTATATATATATATATACCCAAACAAACGTGGTTGACCACATGATGCACAGGCTCGGGCAACAAGGCCGCGCGGACGCCAATGCTGACGAGGATCACGACAGTCATGATCAGACACAGCATGGACGCCAGCGATTTGCCGCCGATTTGGAGCGTCTGGACGGCGGTGCGGGGGCGTTCGACGTTGGCCATCGAGTTGGCCACATCCTGCAGCACGGGGGTTTCCTCCATCAAGTACACGTGCATGTCTCCGCACAGGTTGAGAATGGTTTGGGGCTGAAACGTAGCGTTAGTGCGAGGCATGTCGTGGGGAAGGGCGTGGGTCGTGGGGATCTTGTCGCCTCGGGCGTACGTGACGGACGACGGCGGCGAGGGGCGATCGGGGGCAGGAGGAGAGGGGGGGACGAGCGGCAGCAGCCGGACGCGGCCGGGCGAAACGTCGCCGCTCATAAGCGCGACCACGTCGCCGTGGACGAGTAAGTTCATGGGAATGGACTGCCACTTGTGGTCGCGGTAGCACGCCACACAGCAGGACGATGGAGCGAGGATGCTGTCGCGTTTGAGAGGGGGAGAATTGGCGGCGGCGGGCGGTGGCGTGGTTTTGCAGAGCACTTTGACGGCGTAATGGACGCGCTCGGCGACCTCGCGGGATTCACGGCGATACAAGAGCATGTTCAGGATGCCGTTGAACACAGCGGCGAGGAACAGAAACAGGCTTTCGACCAGGTCTCCAAAATGGGACTGTTCGTGCGTCGACCCGATGCGGTGCTCGCGCCAGGCAAACTCGGCCAGGCGAATGAACGCCGACAGGAAGAGGAGCCACATGGGCGTGTCGACAAAGCCAAACCAGAGGCCTCGATGGCCGCTCTTGCGCTGTTGTTCCAACTGCTGCTCAACGGCTTGCACGAGCTGGTGTCGCGCGCCAAGGGTTGTGAGACCGAGCGTCGAGTACGAGGACGAAGCTTGAGGATGGATTGGAACGTGCTTGGGTGGACTACCGGAGCCTGGGACCATGGGCGGCTTGGCACTGCAGTCTTGTGGATCGTCAGTTCGCCACTGAGACGACAAGGTGCCTCGAACCCGCAACGCATCCGACAGAAGCGGCTCCAGTTCGCCGCTGCTGGACATGACCTCAATATATATCTATTCGTTTGCAGAGGTCTACTTCCGGTATACTCCGAACCAAAGTGGCACCCGCAAAATATGACTAGCAACCAATATATAAAATATCCAAATATATTTGATTACACAGGAATGCCAAACTGTAAAATGTGGATAATTTTGCCCATGCTAAAAGTCTCTATTAATATTTTAATATTAATAGAGACTATTATCCATGCTTGTAGTATTAAAATACTACTTCAAGTAGTAATACAAGCATGGATAATAAATAATACTAACGTTAGAAGGTAGGTAGTATATTAATTGGTGTTTTACCCAAATTTTGGACTTTTGCGCGGATTCTTTGCCAAATCTATGATCATTAACTCTTTGTCCTGACTTTTGTATGTACAGATCGTCCAGTATATCACACTAATTTTGGTCACACACTAATTCGTTGTTGAATTTGTCGAAGATTGGGTTTTAATTGGTCGTATATATCGACTGTCGGCGTATATTATTTGGTGCTGGTCAGTCGACTTGGCAATAATAGTACCACGAGTACAGTATTATAACGTGGTTCATTCCGTTAAGCCGTGGTGGTGGTGGTGTCTGTCTGGCTAGAATTGATGGCAAGCTCCGCCGCCATCGGCGCTGTCGTCTGCTTTCTTTGCCGGTGCGCCGAAATGTTCGTGTAACGAGCCCAACTGGGCCTCGAGCTGCAGCTCCCGTGCTACGCTTTCGGTGAGCAGGTCTTCTAAATATTTCACTCGGCTCTTGTCGGGAATGATCGCGAGGGTTTCCCGCAGCATGTTGGCTTTGGTTCGCTCGCGCGCGCGGTCGGCGGCTTGCGCGGTAAACTCATGAAGGGCGGCTTTCAGGGCCTGGGTGTCTTCTTTGGACGGCGACGCGTGGCGGGTGGTGGCCGGTGGTGCCTGCTGTTGCATCGACTTGCGACGCTGTGCAGGCCGAGACAGCGGGTACTCGTCGTCGTCGTTCTCGCTGAGAGAAGACGCATCTGACAAGTAGGCCGCCGTGTCGGCGCGGTCATGGGTTGCCGACAGCGACAGGTGGTTCTCTTCCAATCGGAACTCGTCGATTAGGGCAGCAGTCGGGTTGGTCGTGGTGCCGGGGTGCATGTCTTGGGTCTATAACAATAGCAAACTGTTAATCAACCCGTTGCGAAACGAAAGAGCCACCCGAATTTAAAATATATATATATATATATTTATATTTCCAACAAAAGCATCAAAGAGTCCAGTGGCTGAACCAACAACCCAGCAAAGTATTATTCAATAAAAAATCAGTCGATCAAACAATGCATCAACAAAAAAAAGTAATAGCCAGGTCAAGTTGATAAGAGAAAAATATAATATAAAAGTATCCACGTTCCCATTAATAATAATAGTGCGTCACTTTGACACTGTGTGAACACAAGCAAACGACAAATCACCAACTTTTTGATCAAATCAGAATAATAAAATTGCATTCTAAATACAAGGTGAAGACAAAAGGCACAAAAAATATAGTAAAACACACAAAAATAATATTTTAAATGTATTGTATCGAAAAGAGTGTATACATTTATATATATGTATTATATATACATATGTATATATATAACTGTATACACTCTTTTCGATATATACATATATCTTGGACATCAACTAACCTTTCGATCAAATGATACTAAATTGCATCAAAAATAAAAGCAACAACTGCAAACACAAAAGATCTATTCAATAAAAGCACAACAAAGTAGCCAACTCTATGGTATCGAAAAAAGTATATATATATATATATACCTTGGACAACGGGTCGAGCGACTCGACATAGGCCGGGTGCATTTCGGGGTCCCATCGAAAGTACAGCCCTTCCCACAGCACCACGCGCTTCAAGTTCGCGCGCGGAAACAGCACGCGCGTCGTGCGCTGGAACAGCTGGTTCGTGAACGTGGTGGGGTTTTCGAGCACGGGCGCCCACACGCTCTCGGTCTTTTCCCAGATGTGCACTTTGAGGCGCTCCTGCTCTGAATTGTACAAAAATGTACCATAAAGACCCGAGTACAGCGAGTCCACGACATGCAGCAGAAACTTTTCGTTGAATTCAAACCCGGTCGGGAACTGATGCGTCATCTGCCACACGCAGTCTATAAACTGCAGCATCACTGGCGACCTACATTCCAATATATCACACATGCGATCACGTGTTGATCAAATATAAATATTGTTTGTTCATTTTTAAAAGTAAAGAGATATGGTCGATTTGATATACAAATTTGGGGAGGGGGTGCAATCGAATAACCGCGCCGACCAAACCGATCCACAATCGATCTGATTGGTTGTTGAATTTCATTGAGAAGGTTTTGATTGGCTAATAATTTTGAACTCATCTGAAGTAGCCAATCAAAGAGATTTAAATTCGAACGAGAAACCATAACACGAAATTTCACAATACAGTATTGTCGATTTGATACAAATTAAGGAGGGGGTGCAATCGAATCGCGCCAACCAAACCGATCCACAATCGATCTGATTGGTTGTTGAATTTCATTGATAAATGGGTTTTGATTGGCTAATAATAATTTTGAGCTCATCTGAGGTAGCCAATCAAAGCGATTTAAATTCGGACACAATGAAATTTCACTCGAAAGCACAATACATGGAGATGGTTTCCACCAAAATTGAGACGATTTTTCACTCCAAATGGACAGGACGAACGTTTAGCAAATGGACAGGAATGTTTATTCAAAACGAGTTTGTTTTTTTTCCAGCGAAATATAGCACGAAATTTGTGCTTTTCACACCAAATTTCATCAAAAATAGGGACGTTTTTCACCAAATTGAGTCGACTTTTCACCCAATTGAGTCGACGTTTCACCAAAATGAGTCGACTTTTTCATCCATTGTAGAAAAATCTAGTAGCACGGACCGTTCGTTGGGCATATCTGCGGCATCCTTGCCGACTCCGACTCGGTCGTGGAACTTGTGGCCAAACGAGCACCATTCCTTCTCCAGCAGACACGCAAACCCGCGGATCGTGCGGTAGTACGGGTCCAGAATCAGCTGCGCAATACCACACAGCTGGGGCGTGCGGTCCCATCCGTCGCTGCAGTGCACCAGCACACTCGCGCCTTCGTCGTGCAAGATCTGGGCGATACGACACCCGCCAGACAGGATCTTCATAATGTGCTTCAACCATCTTGTTTCTATATATATATATATATCATCAATATAGTCGTGTTAGCGCGCTTGAACCGTTGAGTGATATTTAAAAAAGTTATTTTTCAAAAACAAAACGAAATTTGAATCACTAGTTACATGCCAACACACAACATTCGCTACTTACTACCTATAGTATGCTGCTTCAACTCGTACCGTAAAATGGTATATATATATATATAGTGTCAAATCGATTATTCGACACTGGAGCTGCCAGCAGAAACTTGTATAGGATACTTGTACTTAAATAGAGTCAATATGCTATTGGTTTTAATGGACTTCAAAAGTCCAAATTTAGTGTTGACATGCACAATAGCTATATACCCATCATTCCACCCGAATACCTAATCACGACGACGTGGCATTTTACGAATATACAAATCAACTACCATATGCAGGGCCTCCATAAATAAAAACAAAACATAAATCATTAATATATAATGCCCCTCCAACACCTCGTGGATCGAATAAATACCCCCACACAATATATATATATATATTAAATATATGCAAACATGGACGGTAGTGGGTACATACCATGCAGCGTATTGTGAAATCCCTTGTGGCCGTCGTCGCTTACACTTGGCTGCACCAGATCTACACCCCCAAAAAGCAACCGTCAACAAGGCTTGCTTTGTCACTGGATATTGTTAATTATTCTAAACTGCAGCGATATAAAGAATGAATTTGAATCGACACCACCAAATATACATGTACAGAAGAAAATCCTTAGCACAAGTATATATAGCGAATCCCAACCACGATCAACGTTCAATTCGTGTGTGTGACTTCAATTAGTGTGATACCAATCTCCACATGATTCAGTACAAGAAAGATGATGGATTTGGCGAATCATCCGCATAAAAGTAGTCTAAATATTGGGTAAAAAACGACAATATCGTGGATTCGGTAGTACAAATTCCCAGACTCCGTCGAAGAATCAAATATCTCGCCGAATAACCATGAATTGAAACGCTAGGATTGGCTCATTCAATGTTGAGTGGATATATTTGATTGGCTCTTACAGAAAAAACACAAGTATATTCAACCAATCAGAATACTCTAGAGAGATTCAATAGTATTGATTAGACAAACCAGGCGAATGTTGGCAAGTCTATAGCGAATAATGCACAATATCAACCAGTCATATCCTTTTGGCTGATAGAAATCAACCAAACGTACTCTGGAGCATCTCGACCGAGTCGCGCATTTTGTGAATGTTGGCAATCCCGAGGAACTCGACGACAGCGCCGTCATAATGGCTCGAGTTTTCGACCCCTTTGCCCTTGAATCGGTTGCCCTGGGTGGCCAAGTTCTTGCGCGCGTCGACGATGTGGAGGGGCGGGGCCACGCCGCCGCTGTTCTTGTTGGCGCTATCGCGGTAGCTCTTGAGCAGGATGCGGTCGGCCTCACATCGTTTGGACTGGAGTCCGTAGTTGGGCTGGCTAGATCGCGCCAGTACGCACTTGTTGTCGGGGTGCCGCCATACGACGATGGGAAGGCGGCCCCGGCTGCGAAAGCGCGCCGAGTGCACGAGCTGCTCCTCCGTCATGCACGACGGCACGACCATGAGCTGGGGGTACGTCTGGCTGAAGCGGCACTTGGGGTTCTTGAGCAAGCGCCACGTAATAGCGTCGTTCGTGTCGTCGTCGTTGCTGAGGAACCCAAGGCGCTGGTACTCTTTCATGGGGCTATACACGAGCCACGGGTTCATGTCCATGGAGGTGGTCGTGACCTGGCCGGCGTCGCCTTTGGCAGCTTTGTACGTGAACGCAAACAAACTCGTGATGGAAATCTGCGGCCGCATCTTGGTCATAAGCAGCTGGATCCACCGGATGTCGGGGGTCTGCGGCGGCGCGTCGTAATAGTTTTTATGCGTGTATGCATCGTGCATGGACAGGTATATCTTGCGCAGGTCCTTGCACGGGAGGTTGAGCTTGAGGCCATCCCGAACGATCGGTAGCAGCGCCGCCAATGGTACTTGGAATGACCCGTACCGTGCAGATGTGTCGTACGGCATAAACGCGATGCGGTAGTTCGTGATCTTCATCACGCCCTGGACGGCGCGCTCCTTCTGGGAGATCACGACCATATTGGTCACGCGCTGCACATGCTCGACCACGTGTTCGCCTTCGAGCAGCGAAAGTTCCAAGTCGGGGTCTTGCACGGGAAAGCTCGTGTGGCTGCACTCGATGAGCCACTGGTCGAGGTCTTCAAAGCTGTCGCTCGACTCGTGGCTGCCCGACGCCCCCGCCGCCCCCGCATGAAGATGGTGGTGGTGGGTGGCCTTTTTAGCGGGCGTTTTGTACATGACTTTGCCCTGCTCGAGAGCTTCCATGAACCGATCGCGGTCGTCTGCGCCAAAGAACGTGATCTTCCGGTTCATCACTGGCGCCTGCTGGCCTCCCTTTTCGATGCGCAGATGCAGCCCAAACTTTTGATACGACTTGGCATTCACGGCCGCGCACGAAAACTCTTCCTTGTCCGTCGGGTTGGTTGGCGTGAGGAAGCACAGCATGCGCCGATGCGTGTCGATCTGGACGAGGACAGTCGACTTTTTGCTCATCTGGTCCAGGATGTTGTCGGCTTTTTTTACTGTGAACGTGTAGATCGAGTCGCTGCCTTTGGACACGGGAGTGGGCGGCATGCCGTTGACGACGCTGCTGCTTGCCTTGACGCCAAAGATAGGCTGGCTTGCCATCTTGCGCACCGCAGGCGGGGCGTCGCCGCCACCATCGCTCGGCTCTGTCGTCGTGGGCATAGACGACGACCGCGTTGTCGCCGCCGACGACGATGTGGACCATTCCTCACTTCGAGGAATCTCAAAGCTCATGTCGTAGCCTGGCGCGGCCGACGGATACTTGAGTCGAGGCAGCGGTGGAGTGGATGTCGGGGCTCCTGCAACCACCGCCGACAAGGACGACGACGGATGTGGTTTTTGCATCGCGTTGTCGCCGAAATCTGCTGGCACACAGTACGACGTATACGTGGACGCCGGCGCTTCGTCGATCCCTGTCCCACCTCCAGATGACGTCGCTTTGGTTATTCCAGCTCCCTTGCTGTTAAAGTTCATCATGTTGGACGCGTCCATCGTGGCTTGTGCGGCTTTGAGCACGCTCTGCTCGGCCTGGAGAAGCCGCTCCATGGTGGAGCTGTCGAATTGGCCCTGCCGGTCAAACTGCATCAGTTCGTGCTCATCGATGTCGTCGATGGAGGGTATCTTCATGGACGACGTCATGGGGCGGGCCACGTCCGAGTGCCAAGTCACAGTCTGCCCGTCGACGCTTCTCCGTAAGTAATCTGCCTGCTGTCTCGTTTATTCCCCAGCATACAAATGTCAAGACAACTGTGGCCTGGTTCGAATCTAGCCAATCGAAAGCCGCCCCCAACTCCGAGCTGACCAATCAAACCACGTGATTATATTGCCTTGTTACTGAACTTGGGATCGAAAATCGGACCGCTTGCCGCCAATGCAGTATGGGCAGCTCACCTTGGCCACGTACTCGGCAGAGGCCTGCTCGCCTTGCGTAAGGGGACTCCGACACACAAAGCACATGGAGATGTGCTCGGCTTTGGTCAGCTCTGGGGTCAAGGCCACTCGGTCGTCGTAGATGTAGCAGTCGCCGCGGTAGTGCGCGCCGCCACACTTTTCAAAGTACCGAAGAATGCCGCCATCAAGTTGGAACACATTGTTGTATCCTTGATGTTTCAGCGCATACGCAGCTTTTTCGCATCGAACCCCGCCTGTGCAGAACATCACGATGGGTTTGTCCTTGGGCACCGCTTGCATCTGCGCCTTGACCTCGTCCGGGAACACGCGGAAGCTTTTGATGTTCAGATCCACGGCATTGTCAAACGTGCCCAAGCGTACCTAAGCGTTGCATAGCCATCTTGAGAACGTACGTTCACCAGTACATGCATGCATATCGTAAGTACCTCGTAGTCATTGCTGCAGGCAACATGAACACACGTTCCAACGAGTTAGTCATCGCATTGATATCATTCATGTATGTGCATACCGCGTATCTAGGATAAGCATGTCCTTGCCAATGTCCATCCACGTTTTAAACTCTTCCGGGGCAATGTGTTCTGCCAGACCAAGCTTGGCCGGGTTCACAGGTTCGTTGAAGCCCATGGAAATAACTTCGTTCTTGATGCGCACGAGGAACTTGCGCAAAGTTGGCTCTTTCGTGAACGAATCTTTGAACTCGATGGGCGTCATGTTCGCATGCAGTTGGTCGCTCAAGAACGACTGCATGGCCAAGACACCGTCGGTTGGTCCACTCAACCGGATGTTGAGTCCTTCAACCGTGAGCAAGATCGTGCCAAACAGCTGAGAGGACAACCCAGCAGCATAGTCCAAGATACGCTGGCGAAGCTGGGGTAGCTCCTCTTCCGACAGGACGCCAAACTTGTACGCAGACGAGTTAGTGCACACTGCCATGGCGATTTTCTGAAATCAATTGATGGCGGTGACCACGTGTGATTGGTTCAGACATCCATGCATTTCATTGGCTACATCAATCGACGGTTTTATGAACCCGGAGCGCAAAGTGTAACGCCTGTAACCGATTGAACCGTTACGACAACCACCAATGCCCACGGCGCAAAGACTGAGTACCTAACGACACTGACGACATTTTGGTGCAACCTTCGTCAGTAATGGAGCCAACTTGCCAACCTTAGCACGACTCGACACACGGGTCGTTCGAAACGCTTCAGTAATTCTGGTGTGTCACGAGGGCAAGACGCAAAATGTACATGTGTACTGTAGGGATAGAGGTACACTGTACCCGATTGTCTTGTGTAAATTTGTGTGCGGTAGTAACTTGTCTGACAAGTGCCACGCCAAGCTGTAACCTTGTGAACAACGTGGAAATCGACTTCGTGGGATTGATTCCGCCCAATACTCAAACCAACGACTCGGCAGGGTATTGGTATTACATACCTTACATAACGTTAGTTTTACTGTTGGGTCTTGCCATAGTTCATATCTGGTGCATACTCGTTCGTAGCAGGGGAACCTTATCCCGTGAAATGGCAATAAGGGTGTCTGGATTGGTATTGACGGCGCAATTTAATTTGCTTGAAGGTTTTATGCTCCACCTCGATGTGTACGTCCATTCGCCCACATTTCCCCCTCGCACTGTCCCCTTCAGTTTGCTCGATTGTGTCACATTTGGGGGTCGTGCGCCGCGAGGACCTTTCTGATGCAGCACTTTGTGGCGGAGATCCCATCACGAACTACAAATACTGTATTACAAGTACTGTGACTAACCCTTTATATGTTCTCCACGTCACCACCTCAGCTTGCCACGTCAGCTCGTTGAATGTTCCCAATATCTCTCTCTGGATGACTCCATGCTGTCCACGGGACATACTAGTACGTCACTGGGAAGAACCCACCATGTGGTAATCCTGGGAACTACCTCGTTAAGTTCGAAATTTTGCCATAGGATCAAACAAACAACATTCAAGCATATTAAACTATGAATTCGTATTCCATGAATATATTCAATGTAACAGAATGCAAATATATATGCAATAAAGTTTCTAACACGGTTGTAGCGTCGCCCGTATCTTACTGACCTTGGTTGTGGGGGGAGTTGTAGTGTACTAGTACTTTGCTGTGGAGGCACATGTACTGTACTCTTGTACTCTGTGGGTACTTAATCCTGGCACAAATTAGTGTCCATCTTAGTACAGTCTGTATACTATACTATTAATAGAAGTACTGCACTAGTAGGTACTAACTACGGTAGTACATAGTATGTCCTTGAAGTACGGTAGTAGTATGTGGGTATGAAATCGAACCATTACGTTTTGATTCTGGGACAAACCTTTGGAGGCATCAACTTGCTGGCGCCAGAAACGTTAGCGGACGGAAGAAATGTCAATGTAAATTTAACCTTAAGTTTAGTAAATAACAGGTTGGTCGTGGATTGGATTTGTATGCTTTTGGTTGTGAGCTTACAGGTGACCGTTGAATGGGAAAAGTCGCCCCTCCGTTGTGACCTTAGATAGAAGTGGCACGTTTGATCACTTGTAACGACGAATCCCGCGCGAGTGAGCATTTTCAAACTCGCCAACCACCAGCCATCTCGTCATGCACCGATACACACAGCCTAGTGCCCTCTTCGAAGCGCCGTACGGCACCGTCCATACGTATCTGGACACAGAGCACGACATGGCCCAGTGTGTGATCAAACGCCGGGGGAACCACCCCCATGACCACGTCCGCGCCGCCGAGAACATCGACCGCGAGATTGAAACCACCGAGGTCCTCAATGCCAATGGCGGGCACCCCAACATTATCCGCATGATCGAACACTTCATAGAGGACGAATACAGCCATCTCGTGCTTGAGTTCTGCAACCAAGGCGACCTCCTCACGGTGCAGCAGCGCGAACCCACCGGCCGCTTTGACCACTCACGCAGTTTGGCCTACTTTCGAGACGTTGTCCTCGGCCTGCAATACATGCACAAACACAATCTGGCCCATCGAGACCTGTCCTTGGAGAACATATTTGTCACCGACGGTGGTCGGTGCAAGATTGGCGACTTCGGCTTGAGCGTCGACGCCACCGTGCCCACCCATGCCTCTGTGGGCAAAATGATGTACATGGCGCCCGAAGTCGTGGACGGGCTGAAGTATGACCCCAAGGCGGCAGACATTTGGTCTCTCGGCGTTATGCTCTTCGTCATGCTCACAGGGGTGCCTCTCTTCGACGTGGCTTCGTCCAAGGACAAACTGTTCCGCGCAGTGACCCGTCAAGGCCTTGACCCCGTGCTGACGATCTGTCAAAAGAAGGGCTTTCTATCCCCTGCCGTGGCGGATCTCTTGGAAAAGCTGCTGGCACTCAACCCAGACGACCGGTTATATGTTGACGAGATCTTGGAACACGATGCGATGCTCATGCAGTAGGACTGTATTCGACTTGGCATTATTTATAAGTTAGTATTCCATCGACTAGTATTGTACTATAACGTTATCCAATGTTGTTTTGGGATGCTCGTGCGAATCGAAAGTATCATCGTACAGTACGATTTACTACCCACTGGGTTGAGGACTGTCAACCATGGTGTGTACTATTAATAGTTAGTTAATACTAGTACTCACTTAGTACAGTACAATATCAACTCACAAACCGCCGACCTACACTTGAACATGGACATGATACGGAACGACGGCGTACTATAGTAGTGGTGTATGTATAGGTGGTATCTTATTGGAGAGATTGATTATGATGACTTCATCGTGTGGCTACAGCAGTTCATGAAGTCGAGCTATAGTATAACGCACGCAGCCGCAACCGTCCGGCTGCGTTGTCATGGTAGTACTGTAGCATTTGCTAGTTGTACGAGGGCTGCTCTTTCGAACGACCCCACTCTGGGTTGTCTTGCACATACATCTCCATCCTGGATGATAAATACTTCGAAGTACTACATGTATATGCATGCGGCTGCCCAACAAGCATCCTTTACCTTCAACCTTGATAAATATTATAGGGTCACGCTAATGCGGTTGCCTTGGCCGGCGATGGCTGCTGCACGAGCGACAGCATGGTGTGACGATCTTGTTGCCGTGTCGCGTAGTACTTGTCCAAAATGGTTCGAATCTCCGTCAACTTGGAGTTGCTCGACTTGGTGTTTTCAGGCGTGTCGTCGCCCTTGGACTCGCTGGCCCAATATACGTCATCCACGTGGTCTACCATGAACAGCAGCGCGTCTTCCAGCATCCCCTGCTTCTTTATCACACTCGCCTTCCACTGCTCCACCTGCCGCCTCGCATCCGCTCGAATCTCGTCCTTCTCCAGCGCCAAGTGCTGTAGAGCCGACCGCTTCAGCTCGTTATGCGCCTCGGTGACGACCAGGTCCAGCTCCTGCTTGGCCGTTGCTTTGGACGGTCTCGTGAGGCCGTGGGTCCAACCCCTAGACGCAGACTGGCTCTGCATATCTCGGTCGAGGCGGAGTTGCATCACCTCTGCGCGAAGGAGGTCGATCTCGCGCGCTTGGGCCGTCGATTTCACATTGGCCTCGCTCAGCTGAGTCACGAGCAGCTCGTTTTTTACGGCCATGTCGTGCAGCGTCGTGGCCATTTGGAGTTCTCGCTGGCTCATGGTACTGTGCTGGGAACGACCCATCATCGTAGTCGCGCCGCCACGAACTGGAGCAACTTGGTCGCAAACTTCATGGACGATGGACCCACGACGAAACCGCAATAATAGAAACGCAGACTCGTCCAAGGCGGCGATTTTGGACTGGACTTGGTGCAGCGAGTACACGGATTCGCCATTGATGGCAATGAGAGCGTCGCCAGGAAGGATGGCCTTGGATGCTTCCGCCGGCCCGATGTCCCCTGCATGCAGGCGGCGGAACGACGTGACAACCAACGCTTCGTGCGTGCGGTCGTCCACGGCCAGACAAAACCCAAGGCCTTTAGCGTCCTTCTGCAGCAACACGTCAAATACTCCAGTGGTGGGGAGGTTGGTGGTGGTGGTTGTCTCGGTCGGCGAGGCGGGGGTCGGAGGTGACTCCAACCGGCAGGCAAACGTCGGTAGGTCGTCGGATGTGCGGGTGATGTGTTGGTCGGCAGATGGATCGTCGTCTCCTGCGACGACAGTGTAGTCGGCATACTTAGTTGTCGACGCCAGCACTCGACTACTCGACGACTTCCACGTGTTGAGAGTTCGAAGAAACCGAGTGGAGAGGAGGGGTGGTGCGGTGCCACAGCCATTTGTGATGGTGGCGGCGGAGCTACTGCGTTGAGTCTGCATCGCCACGCGGCGGGTACTTACGGATGTGAAACTGAAGTCGCTGGTACTGGAGTCGTCGTCGACAGACAATCATTCGACTTCGAACATTAAATATCTTTTGGCCTCTGCCAAGATATATTTTTGCGTTTGGCGCGAAATGCGTTTTGAGCTTTCCTATGAGAAAAATGGATTACTTGCCATCGGGCACACCTGTCCCATATGATCTTGTGGAAAAATGAAGGCATTACCTATCGAATCTCAATTGTCTCGAGATTCACATGGAACGTACGCCACATCATATCGACCTAATCATATCCATCCGAACGGGTTAAAGTTCAAAGAAATGCCATCATCGTTTGAAGACTAATTCCCTGAGAACATAGTCAAATGCACTCGTAGGGGTAAAATCGCTCAGACCTAAGGTCAAGAGCATTTCAGTGGTTAGCGATAACTAACCTCTGGAATGCAACTTACCCCTGGGTATAGCGTTGTCTGTAAACATAAGGGATCCGGGGGACCCGAGATTACAGGGCTACTGTTCTGTTGAAGGGACATAGTTACGTAAACAGATATGCTGCTCTCAGGGAATTACTCTCGTTGAGTGACCCCACCCCTCGTCGCAGTAGGCTACACAGGGCATTTTGTGGATGTGGCCAAGTTAGCACTACAGTACTGAACAGTACGATCGGGGGGGGGGCATTAGTGAATGGCTGCAGGAGTTTTGACATTTCAAGTGGCAGTTGGATGGCGTGTTCTGATCTCGGTAATCAAGGACGTATGACCTCGTGTACACAGGACACACGGTGTACTGTGTACTAGTAGCGTTCAACTAGATCACCGGTAGGGCTCCTACGGTACACCGCGCCCACGTACTGTATACTGCGCCCACGTCAATGCAAGCGGTTGTCGAGCACCTACACGCGATACTGTACCGGCAGTGGCTTGATTGTCGTCAAAGTGACATGGTGTTGAGTGACTCACACAATAAACTTTGTGTGAGCCCCTCGTCGCATAAACCGGTCAAAGTGATGGATGTGGCCAAGTTCGTACCATGGGTGCTAGCTACTGCGCCATCTTCTTGGGTGCCTATGATACATGATACCTTGACACTCAATGGATGCGACCAACCGCATCCACATGAACCAGCGAATTGCCAAGTCATGGGGGTACATTTCAGCGGAATGCTACATGTTCATTAGAACGACGAACCCTCTGAATGGTACTTCGAAAGGCTTCCTCTTTCCCCTGCAGAGGATAGGTGTGTGTGTGTCTGCACACAAGACGCTGGACACGTGTCGAGGTTGCGTTGGGGATACCAATATTGATGTTGTATATTGTACACTGGCAATAAATAACTATTCGGGTTCTAACTAACACTGGTGTTGTCTAATACAAGGCACTGAATGACCACTCGACCGGCCGGCACTTGAGTTTTTGAGTGTGGAACTCGGCAAACGTGGACGGCGGGCAGTAGCTTCCCATCACGGACGACTCGTCCTCTGGTTCGATTTCCGATTCAAAGCAAACGTCGTCATCGTCCGCCTTGATTGGTGCTTGGACCACAACCTCCGGGGCAGCTTTCGGCGCCGATGGCTGGGCCACGATAGACTCCTTGACACACTTGATCTTTTCGCTCATCGCGTACAAGTACATAGCATTCGATTTGCAGTCCATGGAGCAGAAGCCCGCGGTGGGGCTGAGGCTCTTGAGATAAATATGCTTGCAGTTGTGGCACTTCTGACGCTTGTTGTCCCAAGCCGCGATCCCGCCATGGTTGGTGTGGGTGAGTTCTGTCGAGTACGCTCGGTCGCGGCGTTGGCCGATCGTTTGTGGCTGCGCGAGGAGGTCTGCGTCCGGACACGACTGCGTGAGACGAAGGGTCTGCATGATGTCGTTGACCGCGGCGTGAAACATGATGTGAGTGAGGTTGAAGGCTTTTTGGAAAATGGTTGTGCCATGAACTTAAGCTAGCGTTTCGTCGGGTACTGGCGGCCCATATGTCGTGGGTTCAAAGTTGGGCCAAACAGCGTGTGTCGCATGCCATTCTCAGTAGAGTTGTATCTTGGCCGCAATAAGTTACTACTTTTCAACATTTTAATACCTCATTCACACATTCAAAGACGTACGCGTCGAACTCTATTTTATTTTCAAAATCGGATGTGACCTTCCCAGTGTAGTTGTGCAGGGCACTACTGCCGCAATCAGTTTGGCCAAATGCAATGTGGTCCGATGGCTCAGAGGCTGCAGGCAAAATGTTTTCAACGAGTTTGACCCAACCATTGCCCCACGGGACAAGACAGGAGCCTACCGTTTGTGGCCGACAATGCTAGCCTCAGATGCCCTTTCTCAGGTTTAGCTTATAGATGGAGGGAAACAACGCAGAAGTACGGCATAGGCTTTATGATGGAAGTTTGAACTAGAGTACTGTATGGGTACAGAACAATCTCAACGCGGCACTTCTAGCGATTTGCTGTTCCGTTTGATAGCAAGAACTACTGTACATGCGAAGAACTTTGCGGGACTGTACGACATTTACTGTACAATACAGTACCGATCAAATACACTGTACATATCGGTCACGAGTCGATAATTCCCTCATTTAAATGGCCCACTGTTGTTTTGACCTGAAATACTGTGTCATTGTCAAGTACTACTAGGGAATTATCACATCCGGATACACCTATAGTACATACTAGTACTACCGGTAAGTTACAGTACAGTACCTCGGTAAATTAGTACTATAATACGTAGTACGAGTCTAAATCCCCGAGGTTAATTCCATTGCTAGTGTAACCTGGTAGTGGTTAGCTACATACGTATCGCTAACAACTGATATGTAGTGTTAACTGATACTAGTATGTACATAATCCCTACAGTAAGAGGTGAGGTGGTCGGAGTCAACAAAGTTCCATATACATATTAATTCCCATCCAAGCGGGTTTATATCCCCAACTCCATTGCTAGTTGTTAGCTGTATCGCTAACAACTGATATGTACTGTACTGATATGTACAGTAGGAGGTGAGCTGGTCGGAGTCAACAAAGTTCCTTACCAGAAAACTAGTACTACCCATACGTAGACAACGTACTAAACACTCAAATACTACTACTAGTAGCAGTGTTTTCGGAGAAAAACTACAGTAGAACAACTGTATTAAAGAGGAAATTGCACTCGAGAGCCAGGATCATCTGCCTACTACGTAGTCATTCTTTCACCTACTACCCGATATTTATCTGACACGTAGGATTTCCGATTCAAGTTCGATAACCAAGAGAAATCCCAGCATGTCCAAGCCTGCATCGTACAAGCGCTACGTAGCCCCAAGCAGGCAATCTAATGTGCTGCTTGCTTGGACAAACGAAGATCTGTTGTGTACGGTGCGAAGATTGGCATTGAACGTTATGTTCATGTCATCAAGCTATTTTTCTGATGCGTAACCGGGTCTTACCTATTCATTTGCCCCATGTCAATGATGGAAGCGGAAATATGTTCACCACCCAGTATCGTTTCTCAAGGTTGATTTTATTGAGGCACCTGGGATAATGGCCAAGCGAGGCTGTAAGATTTTAGATACCACAAGAGGAGCTCAGGGGGCCTGTGTGCGACGTTTGGGCAAGGGACTTGGCTTGCCGTTTTCTCCGATGTACATACACGTAGTAGTCCTGGTACAGTAGTACAACTTTGTAGCTGTATAAAAATGATGTCTCCATGTCACAACGTATTGGCTCGGATAACTTTTTTACGAAATATCCTACGTACTTGTGTAAATGAAGCGTGGGGGTGTCGATTCGAAGTGGGGGGCAGCAGATGCCTGGAGTTGGCACTTAATAATTATTACATTTCCACGAGTTACACAGGTTTGCTCCGTCCATGTCTACGAAACGAACAGGGGTTGATATTATTACCACGATTTCGGTGCTTTGCCTGGTGCAATGTGACAAGTGACCACATGGAATTGATTTGCATACCTAAACTTCTGAAACGAGTCAGAACACCGTGTTCTGTTAGAGAACATCGCCACTGCCCTGTCAGTGAGGTAGCAGCATTCTGCTATGTAGCTTTGTAGGAGATTTGTGTGCCTTTTAGAGGCTTTTCCTCAGGTAGAAGACGACAGCGCAGACATTCGTCACGAAACATCACAGATGTCGTGGCCAATCATAGTCTAGTCTGATTGGCTGTTTTTCTACAGTAATATATTTTCAGTTCTTCCTCCATCCACTCACGTGTCTGCTGCTGCTTCCTGCCCTCTCCACTAACAGTAAACGCATGCATGCGGGGACTATACCACGTATAATTCCCCCACAGCAGGTACCCATTACAATGTACACCTAAAGTCCCAAAGGTGTACCTGTATTGAGGGAATTCTGAGCTAACTTACCAGGACGCCTTAATTGAGAATTGTTTGCACAAATAAGTACTAGTACACTACTTATTTGTAAAGTGGCCAATACTGGACAACGCATGTCAGATACTGGTAGGGAGGGGTCAAGGCGTCTCAGTGGCTAGCGATGCTAACCACTGCGATGCGCTTAACCCCAGAATAAAATTATACTGTAGTTCGAAGTATCCGAAGTCCCAGGTTTCAAAGGCTTATTTTTATGCGGTCGACGTCTTAGCTAAGGAATTTCCCCATTGTTGGGTATTTTGATGGTAAGGTACAGTGTATACTAGTACCTGCTATGGGGGAATTATTCCGCATGCGGGAGGGATTGCTGCGGCCACCGCGCAAGGCTGATTTCGATCAGTTGTTGGGTGTCCCCCTAACACCACCGTAGTACTAGTACCAGCAGTTCGTAGGGAATGATGGAATCGGCCACGTATCACAGCCTCGTCGCATTTCACAAACAGGGGAAAGTGACCAGGTCACCAAGCCTCACCTACAGTACTTGAGAAACTTCCGACATGTCGAGTGATGATGTGCCCTGGAAGGCGAGCGGGGTGACAGTTTACCCCTTCATTGGCAGCCTGCACTGCGCGTCTTCAGGATGGGGAAATGGCAAAGCCGCCACTTCACATCCGTAACATTAATGGCGAACTATATTTGCTGTTGCTCGACACTTTTGTTCAAGTAGTATGTTTGGTCGAAACGGCTCCCCAGAAAATGAGAGGATGCTACTCCTCCGCCAAATCTCAGTACTATATCAAACGGAATAGCCCACAGCAACCACCAGAGTCTGTTGCGTGCTGTGGCCTTGATCGCATTCCGATACGTGGAGTATTGCATGAGCAGTAGCTTCCTTCATTTTGCAAGGAGCATATATTTTATGCTTTTCATCCCTTCAACAAACACCAAGTAACCAAAAACGAATTTCGACTGTATTTTTTTACAAAGCAATAGAAATTCTCAGTGGCATTTCAATACAACCCACAAGTCAGATAGACTTGAGATTTGGAGCTAATCTGTTTCATACTAAGTAATATGAAGTATTTCCAAAATTTCATCAAAATTGGAGTAGTACCGGTATTGATGAAGTTACGAAAATTCGGGAGCCTTTTCGCCCACTGTACAGTATTGCTATCCTCCACGAAGAATGTGTGTTGGCTGTTGATATCAATAAGTTTACCATAATTTTAACACTGACCCTCCACACTCTACCCTCCTCAGCGGGCTCGCAAGCACTAGAGGTCAACGTTACTGATGGGCTTCAGTCAAGCCGCTTGACCCTCCTAGCCCCGAGCATCCACGCCACTTACATTCAAGCAATCGCTCGATTGTCGCCACTCCTCAAACCACACGCCCAACCCCCCCCCTTGGAGGTATACTGGTTTGATGTCAAAGGCTCAATCAATTCCGCGCCTCAAAATGTCCTAACACTCATCCGAGGGATGCTGAGACCCTTTCAACACGGCGACGGATGATTTTCCAAGACCGCGTCGAGCTGTCTCCCCAGCACTGGGCATTTGGACGCTTGTGGTACTACTGTATATGTGCCACGAAACCCCCAAACCCCAAGTGGGCAATGCTGCCGTTCGACCCCTCGCTGGTCGACACACGACCCCTAAAGGGCGGGTTTGTCGCTTTAGATGTTTGCCCAAAATTTGGACTTTTGTGCTGATTCTTTGCCAAATCTATCGATCGATTCTTTGTCCTGACGTTTGTATGTAAAGATCGTCCAGTATCACACTAATTTCAGTCGCGCACTAGTTCCATGTTTAATTCGTCAAAGAGTGGATTTGATTGGCCACTTGATACTGTACTGGGTTTTGATTGGTCCATCGATTGTCTGCCAATTTGGTGCGTCACATTGACTGGACAATAAGTGTAATCCAATAGGCCCGAATATAGTATTTATTTATTACGTAGACTTTCTTAAGCCATTTCGCATCAAATTGACACGGTTTCAACTTGACGAATGATCATGTACATTGATGCCACTTCGTCCCCAGATTGAGCATAATCGCCATGACTTCTGCACATGGATGGTACCTCCCTCAATGCACCCGAAGCACCAGTTCGACGGAACATACTCATTTTCACTTAGCTTACTATATACTTCGAAGTAAACGATATACATGACGATATATATATACTATATGAACCAGTGGCTTTAGAATATCGATCAAATTCACCTCGGAAAGCTGGCTGGCTCTCTTTGGTATATTCTGGTTGTCATCCGTGTCGGTCAGTGGAAAGAAGAACTATTCATCTTCTCATTTCGATACCCAAGCCTTACTATATATAATATACTAGTAACTACAGCTACACTTGAAACATATAAATATATACAAGTCATCGATCAAATTCACCTCGGAAAGCTGGCTGGCTCCCTTTGGTATATTCTGGTTGTCATCCGTGTCGATCAGTGGAAAGAAGAACTATTCATCTTCTCATTTCGATAACTGCATTGTGAATACTACTTTCTACAAAGAGCAAGGTCCAATGTACGGTTTCCCGTAGAGGAAATCCACCTCAAATGGGCAAACTCCACACAAGTCTACAAAACACCTACGTCAGTCTAGGGAGTTTGTTGAGGGAGGCTACCCATCTTGAGTGGATAATTCCCGAAGAAGGTCCCAAATATACATAACTAGTACATGTAACCAAGGCACCCGAGGTTCTCGTCAATGTAAATCAAAGACCCTTGAAACTAGGCCGGTCAAGTCGGTTTGGGCCAGCTTTGAGGGAGAATGCTCCAAATATGCGAAATATATCGCACATCCTCCAAAGAGAAGCTGACCACATACATGCAAACATGCAATAATAAATATATGGTTGTTGTTGATCAGTGTTAAAAAGCTCTAGATTGTTTGGTCAACATGTAAGCTTCAGAGTTGGATTATCTTTAGACATCACATCAACAATAAGTACTACATAAGGTAGTCAAGTCAGAGCAAGGATGATATGTTCTCGTCAAGGGCTCATTCGTAGAATGAGATCAGAGAGATTCCCATTTATCATAACTCATCACACTTGGTATAAAGCACATGCAGTGGTGTGAATTGGGTCGGATAGGAGCGAAAGACATTGCTTGATGTAGTTCATCACGGAATTCAGTTGAACTATGCATATTCAATTCGTCATCCCCAATATATGGTTGGTATATACACAACATGCAATGGTAGCTCAGTAGGAAGGCAACAGAAATTGTTCTTCGTTTCATGAGTTGATCAAAGACACTTATCACTTCGTTCATCAACGCTACATATACACAAAATGCATTGAGGAGTCAGGCAGTATGAATATCTTATAGTCCACAACAAGTGCGTTGGCAAACGCTTTCGGAGGTGTCCTAAGTTTGTATCGCATCACATTCCTTCGGGTCAATCATATACACAACATGCAAGTGGACCAGATCGATCAAACCGTCACCACACACACGAATGTGTGCGGAGTCTTTCAAGTCTACGCAGCTTCGATAGTATGGGGAAAGAAGTTGTGATCTTCTCATTTCGATTGCGGTCATCCGAGTCGTCGTCATCATCGTGGGCAAAGCGGCAAATGCAGGAATGAACAGCATGGACTGGCGTTCTGGTTAGCGGCACCATCACCAGCCATCATCAAGCGTCGCCGAGGCCGCACAAAATTAAAAATGAGTGGTGGGGACGGCGTATCCGGATATCCACAACGAATAGGGTTACTGACGGTGGCCAACGTTTACCGGAACGATAGGCCTACGTTATCCGTATTATCCGGAGGACCTTATTTCTGCCGCCAAGAAAGTGAAACCGATCGGCCAAGCGGCACAGCACGATGCTGTACAATGCACATTCCCTGCGATGGCGGTGGACGGGCTGACAGAACTGTCTAATCGGATGTCGCCGAGAAGCAGTTGTACCAGCCCTGCTTGTGAAACACTCGCACACTCTATCTCCTGGAGCGTTAGGATGGATTCTTTACCATTGGTTAACAAGTTGGGTTTACAGTTAGCAGCACCTGTGTGGGTGGATGATGGCATACTGTAGCGGACGGGGGAGACGATACTGTACTCCGTCTCGCTGCAGAGGTCAGGACTTGCTTCTCCGCTCCGGACTCGTCCATCCTGCCGGTTGTCGCTGCTCACACCAGTCGACAGAGGTGGCGCCGCCGATGTGCTGTTTGTTGTCCTACCAAAGTTCAGTCCACGTCTAACTTTTGCCATCCCCCATCCAAGTCGTCGTCATATTTTGACAAGAGCGGTTCTATTGTTTTAAATATCTCTGTTTGGAGATCTCGTTCAATATCTTGAGCGATCTCCGCGACGTGCCTGGGTTGCCTTGCTTGAGGGGTACTACTGCCGTGGATGGCACAGGGCGGGGCTTGAGCCAGTTGACTTTGCTATCGGATGGCGGTGGTTGGTCGGGTTTGGCTGGTAGGGGCGGCAGCGGGGACGGGGCCGCGTCGTGCTTCTTGGAGCAGCTGCTCGATCCTCGTTGAAACGACAAACTGCGCTTGATGTCTGGCGTCGACAGCATCGCCGACGACGACGTGGATGACGTGGATGACGATGCGTTGAGGTGGTGCAGGTTTGGTTTCAGGGGAAACAACCCGTTTTCAAACACTTCAAAGTACTCCAACGCTTCCATGTGGTCGTGGATGGCTCGAAACGTCGGGCGGACGCCCCACGCGGTGCACTTGTCGAAGAGACTGCGGTACGGACCTAGCGCCGCCGCGGCGGCATCCGGCACGGACTTGACCACGTAGTCCTGGAGAAGGCGATGCAGCGACCGGGATTCCAACGACTGCGCGGGCAGGATGTCCCCAACGAGGAGCCGGTACAGAACATCCCGCCCGAACGACCCGACGTCAGCGTTCTTGAAGAAACTGAACGACGACTTCAGGATTGGCGGCTCTTGGTCGCGTGTCTTGATGCGGCCAAAGTCGCTGAGCTTGATCTCGGGGTCGATGGTGCCTTCGAGACCCTTGGGCGGCATGCGTACGAGGATGTTGCGGCACGCGAGGTCGCCGTGGGCCGCATCCACTTCCTCGTGGAGGATCATCATCGCGGCGGCGATTTGCTTGAGGATGCGATGTGCGACGGGGGCCGGGAACGGCTGCTTGACACCCATACGCTTGCGCTGGTAGTCGCTCAACTTGCAGTCCATCACTTCCAACGCAATGCACGTGTGCTCGATCCCGTCGCACATGCCGAGGCATTGGATGAACCCTGGCTTGTGTCGCACGCGGCGCAAGTAATGCAGTTCCACGGCGCTTTTCCGCTTCGCTTGGTCGGCCGTAAAGCCTTCGTGGGGTTTGGATCGCTTCAACGCGATCTTTTGCCCTTGGACGATGCACGCGCTGACCTTGCCGTCCGTGCCTTCGCCGTACAACCCGCCCGTGAACTGAACGTCGTGGTCGCAGTTGAACAACCCCACGTCTTCGATCTTGGAACTGCTCGTGAATCCCGTCATCCCTTCTTCGCCATTGTCTTCGTGCTCTGTGGTTGGCGTGCACGAATCACATCTCGGCTTTTTCGCCGCAGTCGCGTCCGGGTCTGGCGAGAACAACAGCGACGTGCAATGCCGTCGCCTCCGCGTCTTCATGGGCTGCGGGGATGCTACAATGGGCCGCGTGGGCGTGAACTTCTTCTGCCGCTTCCATGTAGCTGTGGGGGACATCATGAGTTTCGGGGAACTGAGCTTCTCCATGGTCGTCGTCGGCGCCTTTCCCACCAAATTGTGTACTGCCGATTGGGCTGGCCAATTTGAAACCCCACCGACCGCTGTGATTGGCTCGTTCTTGCGCGCAATTTGAGATTTTCTGGCGGGGTTTTAGACCAATCCAAGCCCGCTATTTCGATATTATGACATTATTTTAGCCAATAGTATCGCGTAATTCGGGGAGAGCTGAAGCGTGAAGCGCAGGCGCCTCGATGATGGACATGACATGCAATAACTACCTGCGTTAGTTGAAAGCGGATCATACTCCATGGAAGCATGAGAATACAGCACGCAGCGTTACCCGTCCACCATAAGCCATGCTAACGTACTGTACCCCGAAACCCTTGTACATCGAGGGTAATACAGTACTGAAACTTACATTAGAAGTACACAATTGGCTGTGGCATGTAACTACTAGTAATTGATACTAGTACTTCAAGTACTAGTACAGTAGCAATGATGTAACTTGGATCCAATGCATATAAGTACATACCGCATCATCTACTTGGCACGATGACTTGTTGAGCTCCTGCTTTAGACTACCTACTTGGAGCTACTAGTACTCTTGAAGATGCTGTACGCTCCGACAACAACGCCGACAGCCCCGAGCACGCTAAAAACGTCGCCAATGTCATCTAGCTGCCCTGCTTGTCGCTTCCGACGGCGCACGAGGTCGCTCTTGTCGCCGTATACGACCAACGCCGGGCGGTCGTGGACGAGGTCGGGATGCACGAGCACCCATTCTAGCTTTGGCGCTCCCGTGGCCCCGGGAACCAGTCGTCCCTCCACGAGGCCGACGCCCGACACGACTTGATCCACGGGGATGAGTCGCTCTGAGGTGCGGAAGCCGATGGTTTTGCTCTTGGCGGACTCGCTGAAGATCGAGATGAACGAGTCCACAGACGGTTTGAACTCGTCTTCCCCTGCTCGGTACAGCGACCTGAAGTACACCGAGTCCTTTAACAACACCTTAGTCGACGTGGCCGTGAACGGTTCCACGGCAACAATGCCGCCGGCTTCCGACTCGGACACTTTGGTCTCGGTGTGCAGGAGGACGTGGCCGGCCGCTTCTTCCGCACGCTGGTACGTCGTGCTCGTGAGACGGATGGCGTCGTGCACGTCGGAGTTCATGCGACGCATGATCGCACTTTTCAACAGCGGCGAGTCGAACGACTTCAACCGGCCTGAGAAGCTCACGTACTCGGTGTGGCGCTCGTGCGAAGGAGTCGCGGGAATGGATGCGATGTCTCTGCTCTCCAAGATAATTTGGGTGTCACGCAGAGCTCGGCTGCTCGATGCTTTGATCTTGTGCCCAATGTAGCAGAACACGCCTCCTCCAACGGCTAACCCCACGCCAAACATGGTCGAACTGTGAAATGGCGATGTGCCATGTGCCGCATAATTACACAATCGACCTACATTCTGTCAACGGAGTGTTGGTAGTGCAGCGGAATGATGTTCAATTCACAATCCACAGCACGAGGAAACGTGATTCGGTGCGACCACGATGAGTGAGCTGGCTGAACTGAGACACAAACAGCGTGTACCAGTACATGCTTTGGCTTGACCTGCTTAGAAGTTGACTGTTGTTTCATGCCGCTCGCACAGCACGACGACGTAGTACAGTGTACAGAGTAGTCGCCAAAGGAATGCTCAAACTGCCATTCGCGTCGGTAAGTACTTCTACTACCGTACTGTAGGTACGGCCTTTGGAATCAAAACTATGCTGGATCATCATGTCCATCTTGTCAGCATGAACGTTTCAATGCAGTTTCTTTTACCTTGACCAAATATACTGTACTGTCAGAGCGGTTCGGTCTTATAACCCCATAAGCTTCCAACGCGATCTTCGAACGTTTGCTGCGATCTTAATTGGAGGATCGACTATATAACGGATTAGATACATGACATGCCCTTGTACTACTTGACAGCCCCATGCATGTTGCCATCTGCGGAAAACCTGCCTTGGATTGTGTCGTTGTCGTCTATGTACTGTAGTTTACAGACATGGGGTATAACTTTGGGTGTACACTGTACATACAGATATCGCTAGGATGTACAAGTACAGTGGTGATAGTTTGCAAGGGTCGTTTCATCCCCACAATTGGATAGCCAAGATTCACCGCAGTTTTTGAGTTGAATTTCATCATGGTGCATTGTGATTGGTGGACTTTACAATCTGTCAACACGTGAAAACTGACCAATAATACACTGTACGACCTTAAGTAGCCATACGGTAATAAGAATGCACGTGCCTTGACGTCACATTTCGTTTTACAACGATGGGCCACCAAGCCTCCACCGAGCGATCATCCAACCAGTCGGTGCACTTCCTCTCATCCCCCGACGACAACAACCAAGGCAACAACCCGATTAAGCTCGACGGCGACCGGGCCGACCTGTCCGTGCTCGAGTTTGCACTTTCCCAGGAGAGCGTCGTGGGGTTCTTTGGGGTCGATGGCGTCCGCGAGTTTGATGCCAAGTTTGCCGACGGCAGTCTCGTCCGCCACGGGTCCCTTCCCCACGGCTACGTGGACCTCCTCGGTCCGATTCTGCCTTCGCTGGACGGACAAGCGTACGACCATGCCCACGACGCGCTTCGCAAAGCCCTCGCGGGACCGTCGCAGTTGAATCGGTACAAGTCCGTGCTTCGCGATATTGTGCACCGCGAACACCACCGATGGGCGGCTCGGGGGGGCGTGCAGTCGCTCGCGACAACGTCGGCGGACTTGGTGTTCCACATCTTCCTCGCCCTTCTCTTCGGCATGGACGACGCCACAGGCGACCAAGTCAAGGGCCTGCATTCGGTGGTCGACAACTTCATCCAAGGCATGCGCACGTCTCTCGGGTATGCCGATCGCACCGCTGTGAAACTTCGCGGCGACTTGCTCAAGACATTAGTCGACCCTGCCCTCGCCCGCAGTCGTGACCGCGTCGCGCAAGGCGTGTCGAAGGCGTGTGTCCTGGACGCGCTGGTCGCGGACAAGCAGCTCGACGACCACGCGATCCGCACGCATATGTTCCACGTGCTCGTAACCGGTCTCAGCAGCGTCGAAAGCCTCGTCGTGAACTCGATCACGGCGTTATGCGTGTTCGAAGAAGAACGCGCCAAGCTCGTGCAGGCGCGGGCCGAGTTTGCCGCCAAGTACCCGACCGTCGACGAGCGGTGGAGCCACCTCGACGATCTGGGGTACATCCACCGGTTCCTCAAAGAAGTCACGCGGTACTACGTGGCTGGGCCAAACCACATATACGGCCGCGCAACTCGCGACGTGGACATCGCGACGACCTCCCCCAACAATCACAACAAGGAGCAAGGCGTGCTCAAACTGCCTCGCGGTACGCTGTGCACTGCGGTGCTGGAAGCCACAACGTCGTGGCCAGACGCGGCGCAGTTTTCTCCGAATCGCTTTCTCCACCAAGAGCATGTCGAGCTCTTCCCCCGTGCGCTGGACGAACACATCCGGACGCTGGTGCTGCAAAGCGTATTCGTGTCGCTGCTCGATTACGAGTGGAAAATGCTGCCATTCCAAGACTACTCGCTGGCCGAGAACGAGCCCCACGCGACCCCCAAGGGCGGGCTCATGGCGGTCAACTTTAAACGTCGGTGCCTCGGCGACTCGAACGACGGCAACTTGTTTGAGGTCGCGGGGTGCCACGACGACTAGAAGTTTTTGGCGCTACCGGAAGCCAAGGCATATCGCGACAACATGGAGTCGCTGTACGACATGTTTACCGACTCGCGCCTCGATTCGTGGACACATTTGATGATCCAACTGCTGCAAACAAAGCAAGCTGCGTGGGAAGTCCCGAACGCCGCCACGGCGCTCAAGCTGCCGCAGTTTCAAAAGACCTTGCCCAAGATCAACCTCCTTCACACGTCGATCATGGTACCGACCGAAGACGAAGACACGCCGCTGGATCCGTGGTACGAGAAGGCGGCGATGGTCCTCCTCCGAGATACGCTACCGATTGGCGACAACTTTACTGACAACTGGCTGCCCGGCGAAGACATGGAAGCGTACGTGATGCAAAAAGTGGGCAAAATGTGGCCCCGCGTGAACGTGCACTGGAACGATCGGTATTCTGACCGCGCGCTCGAGCTGATTGCGTTCAACGGGTTTGGCCAACACTTGGTGGAAAAGCTAAGCGACCCGCACGACGACGGGTCGTACTATGGCGTACTCTTGGACTTTATGCACGTGTTAGAAGTGCGCCCAGGGTATGCCAAGTATGGGGCCGATGCATTCTTTACCAGGGATGGCAAAGTGGTCAAGATTGTGCGCGGTGGCAACACGTACATGCCAGGCGACGACCAATGGGAGTATGTCAAGTTTTGCTTTCGCAGCTCACTCAACACCAAAGTCACAGCGGTGGACCACTTGCTCGGCATCCACTCGATGGTGGCCAACTACTTGACCACGTCGTCGCGCGAATACCTGCCTGTGAACCACCCGCTGCGCCGCCTCATCAAACCGTTCACGTTTCGATCGGTGGTCATCAACTACGCCGCGGCGTGGGCGCTGTTTTGGCCCAAGGGGATGCTACATCGGGGGTTCGCCCTCACGGAGCAAGGCATGAAACAAACGTGGGATTACGGCATTGCTCGGTTCAACTTTGCCACGTTTCCCCAGCAAATGGCCAGCCAAGGCGTGGACTCGGTCAAGCTGCCGTACCATGAAGACGGCCTGGACTACTGGAACGTGCTGCGAACGTTCGTGAGCAACTACGTCGACTTGTATTACACGGGCGACGACGCAGTCCAGCAAGATCAATCGGTGATTCATTTCTGGGACTACTTGGACAAACTACCGGGGTATTTCCCACCCCTGAGCTTGGACAATTTGAAAGACGTGCTCGCGCAATGCATCATGTGGGTCACGGGCATGCACAATCACTTGGGCACGTTGGCCGAGTACGTGAGCGACCCGGCGTTCTGCGGGTCGGCTTGGGTCGAAGGCGAGGCCGCCAACCGACCTGGGAGCGCCGTGCGCATCGCACTCATCATGTCAGCCACTGGCTTCGTCCAGCCATCCGTGCTGGAAGACTTTTCCCACGTTATGCTTGACGACAAGGCCAAGGGGTTGTGCCATGCGTTTACAGCGTCGTTGCACAAGCTAGCCGACACCGTCGACGCCCGCAACTCCACGCGCGAGCAAAAGTACGTGTCGTTCGACCCCAAGACGATTGAGTTGGCTGTTAGCATTTAAGCAACACTTCATGTGATCCAATAATGCACGAATGCATACTGTACTTCATAACTGTAACGTTAAGTAAGTAAAACTCCTCCAATTCCATGTCGGCGGCTACAAATTCGCCGCCAAGTTGTCCGGATACGAGGATCCATTGTTTAGGGTATTTCAACCCTAGTGCGCATCGACAACGTGATTGGTTCAATTGAATGCACATGATTGGTCCATTTACATCCAATCAACGTGTAGTGTGTGAATCGTTCCACTGTTCAATATCTTCGAATCAGGCCGGAAGACACGACCAATGCGAGTATCATCTAGCCAGAATCTCCTGCTACAATGTCACCCCTCCCTTGTCAAATTCATCAACTGACCGTCCGCACTTTCCAACCTTCCTTGCAACAGTCATGCAGCTTCTCTTGGCTTCGATTGGGCTCTTCGCCGTGGCATCCGCGGCACGACTCGTTGAGACGGACAAGTGCACCGCCATTTTAGTCGGCGCGAAGGCGTCCAAGAGTGGCTCGCCCATGACCACTCAAACCAACGACTGCTCGTCGTGCGACTTTCGCATTGCCAAGGTGCCCCAGAAGACCCACGCGGCAGGCTCCCAGCGCGATGTGGTGCTCGTAAGCCAAGTGTACCCTCGCTACGGTAACCTCCTCAACAATCAACGGTTTACTATACTAACCATTTCTGCTTTAGTTGGCACTGCGCGAGGCGCACCAGAGTACTTCAAGGAAAACCAGCAAAATAACTTTTTCAATTGGACAGAAACCAAAGGCATCGGACAGATTCCGCAAGTAGCCACCACGTACGGGTACATTGAAGGCGTGTACCCCCTGATCAACGAGCATCAACTGGCCATCGGCGAAAGCACGTGCGGGGCCAACTTGTGGGCCAAACCAGCTACCCAAGGCGGCAAAGCGCTCTTCGATATCACAGAGCTGGCGCGCGTGGCCTTTGAACGCACCAAGACAGCGCGAGAGGCCGTCCAACTCATGGGCGACTTGGCCGTACAGTACGGGTACTATGGCGCCGAATGGGAAGGCGACGCCGTGTACAGCGAAGCGGGGGAGACGCTGACTGTGACTGACACCAAGGAAGGGTGGGTATTCCACATCCTGCCAGACGACTCGGGGGCGTCGGCGGTGTGGGTGGCCCAGCGAGTCCCCGACACGCACATCGTGGCCATCGGCAACCAATTCATCATCCACCACGTCAACTTGACCGACTCGGACAACTTCCTCGGCTCCTCCAACCTCTACGACGTGGCCAAACGCAACAACTTCTGGGACGGCCAGTCCGACTTTGACTTTACAGTCGCGTACGCCCGTCGCCGCCCTGGCGAGTCCTTTTACTACTCGACGCGTCGTCAGTGGCGCGTGTACACGCTGGCCAACCCGAGCTTGGACCTGAGTCCGTACACGGATGCTTTTGGCACGACGTATCCGTTTTCAGTCGAGGTACGTCTTTTGCATTGTGAAGATTTTTGAAATGTGTTGATGATTTTGTAGACGGCGGGACTGCTGGATGCGTCCGATCTCATCCGATTCCAACGCGATCATTACGAAAACACAACGTTCGACTTGACGCAAGGCCCCCAGTCGGGCCCGTACGGCAACCCCGATCGATACTGTACGGCAAATATATTTGCGCTTTAAGGTCTGTTTTGTTCATGAGTGATTTGTAGCTGTGGGGGAAAACTCGGTTGCGCCTGGCACACAGGGCAAAGGAGGGTTCTTTGAACGCGCGATTTCCCTGTATCGCACCACGTACTCGTATGTGACAGTGGCCAACCCCAACAACTCCAACCTGGGCTTTCTCTGGTAAAATACAATCCTGGATCCAACGAATACAGCTATGGACACTCAAACTCAACCACCAGGTTTGGTCCGTACGCGCCGCATGCCACGTCATACGTGCCCATCTACGCCAAAGTGAGCTCCGTGCCAGCGTTGACTTCGAAAGGGTCCCTCCTTCGCTTCGACTTTAACGCGTCTTTCTGGATCAACGCCCTCATCGGCAACTACGCTGGCCACTTCTATAAGCACGCGATGCCCGCTGTGGCTGCCGTTCAACTTGCTGTGGAGCAAAAGGCGTTTGAGGGTACACCCTTATAAAGAACGACGAACGTAGCTAAGCCCGCTTCTTTCGTAGCGCAACAAGAGGTCCAGGCGACGGCCGTGTCGATCTTGGCGAGGGAGGGCGAGGCGGCCCTGGTGGCCCACTTGACTGCGGCCAGCAACAAGTTTGCCACGTCTGCCCACGAGGCGTTCTACGCACTGTTCGTGGACGTCGTCACTCGGTTCCACGACGGGTCCATCTTCTCGGACTTTGCCAGTGAGTCCATGACTGTGTCTGCGATGGGGTACCCCAGTTGGTGGCTCGAGGAAGTGGGGTACTTTGGGCCCAAGGCAGCGAACGGGGTGGCGGTCACGGGTGCGCTCGTGCTGGGGGTGGTCACGGTGACGGCGCTGGCCGTGGGGCTGGGGTTCTGGCTGGGCCGTCGCACGTCCACCGTCAAGTCCAAGGGCTACGTCCTTGTCAAGTAGAGTTACTCAACGTATGATGTGTGTTGCTACGTACGCTTCGATTGAACTAGAAGTGGCTTTGTGGTCGGGTTAAGGAATGATATATAACTGAAAGATTTGACTGTATCCGAGGTACTTTGAAGTAGTTCGCAAGTGAACCGGTCCCTGTACATCATACAGAGCAGATTTGCGTTCTACAACGTTTAAACGATTGGTTATACAGTACTGATTGCATTTCTAGCCGCCAGCTAGATAGCATTGGTAGAGCTGGCTACCCGGTAGGTCCTGGCTAAACACGAAAAAAAGTGAAATTACACAAGACCATATAACACAATCTACCAGTAGTCCCGTTAGCTGGTGGTGTGGTTATTGACGGATCACTTGGCTTGGCTGTGTAACGACGTCTAGACACGTGATTTTATCGGTCCAGTTCTCCAGTCCATGGATTCAGCTACGTTGAAGTGGTCGTATGCTTCGTCATAACACGACCAGTACTTCGTTATAAGCCGCAAATGAACATATTCTTCGTCTTACAAAGTTATGCTGTGAAACCAACGATCAAACGAACTACTTGATAAAGGCATAGCCCTTGGACTTGACGGTGGACGTGCGACGGCCCAGCCAGAACCCCAGCCCCACGGCCAGCGCCGTCACCGTGACCACCCCCAGCACGAGCGCACCCGTGACCGCCACCCCGTTCGCTGCCTTGGGCCCAAAGTACCCCACTTCCTCGAGCCACCAACTGGGGTACCCCATCGCAGACACAGTCATGGACTCACTGGC